TTTACTGCAAGAACAGCGTCTGGACACTTCCTGTTTACCACCTCACCCTGGCAAATGCACGTCAACCGTAAGATTCTGATTTAAAAACACTCCAGTGGCTTTAAGCGTCAGCTTAGCCCCTACAGGGGGTAACGAGGGACCTCTCACGACCACCTTCCCATCAAGAAACGTAAGGTCGGGGAAAAAAAATTTTTGAAATTCAGTCGGTCGTCGTAAGGTGGTCGTAGGAAAATCGCTCAGTGGTCATGCGCAAACAAGGATTCTTCTACTTTCTCCTCCTGCTTTCAGGACAAAATTACAAAAATTGCTGCGCGTTTCACTAGTGAGCTTCATATTCCTTTTCTATTCGTTTGGCTTCCAGTTAGACGACTCCAGGTAGCAGCATCTCACTGCAGAGCTGAGTCCGATGTGGTTTTTAGACGTACAGTGTGAGCAGGTAGATCGCATCAGAGCGATGGATCGCACAGTGTGAGAACATGCATTGTGAGCTTTGAACACTTAAACCCTGTGGTTTCGTCATATTGTGTGAGCTGTAGCTGCATGCAACGATTGAAAAAATTGTACATTGTATGCCCGGCTTAAGTAGTCCCTGCCTAAAACACACCAGCGCTCATCTTCCCTCTCACTTTTGTCCAAAGCTAACTTCCCAAATCTTTCCTAGTGAAAACTGTGGGGGGAATCCTTTGATGGGAAATGTAGGTTATATACACATAGAAAAGATCCTATGAGCGCTTCCCCAAGAGAAGAGCGGATGTATGATGCACAGCCTTGTTGCATAAGCATGCGGAGTGGATGCATGAGAAAAAGATCCTTTTAATAATCCATGGTATTTTCTTACTTGGTGACTAATGAGGAGACTCCAATCAACACTTCATTCCAACTAATTTAGTATTAACTCCATGTGAAGTTTTCAGGCTGCAGGAATTAAAGTTCTAAGTCTGCATGTCTAAAGCAGCCTCTGTTATACGCTTTAACTATCAGAAGAAATATTTTAGTAGCTCTTCCTCTTATGTTTAGACCAGTCTTTATTGTTATTACTCTGAAATATGGCAACAGAATTTTGACCCATATTACTTGATGATATCCAGTTAAATTGGTTTAAAAATTCCCCCTTTTTTTTTCTCGCTTTATTAATTTTTAACACAACCTTTGTTACTACATTTTAAAGTAGATTTCAATGAGAACTATTCTTTTCATTGTGATTTAGAAGCACTTCCATAAGAATCAGATGTTTTTTTCCACATCTGACCAGAGCAGCTTTTCTCACATTTGCTTGTTCTCTGCTTGGCTTGTGGAAAACCTCTCATCTAGGAGCTTTTGACCTTGGCATGTTTCCGCCTAAGCCACATTTGTGGTTAGGGATTAGTTTCCTTGTCAGACTTTCTCCCACCTGAGCTTTTGGTCTCTGCAGCTCCTTAGAGATACTGTTATTACCTTAGAGCGGGTGTATGCAAACGTTAAGCACTGTTGACACATTTGTAACTCACATTGTGTGTGTAACAGGCCACAATACACACACTTTATTGTTGTTAGTCGTGCAGATTTTTGTTAATTAATTGAACTTTACTGATCTCACATAGGAGAAATCTACCTCTGCATTTAACCCATCCCCTTGGGAACAGCGGGCTGCCATCGTGGGACGTCCTGGGAGCTATTGGGGGTTAAGGGTCTTACTCAAAGACCCAGAGAGGCAGTCTGTGGGACTCAAACCCAGAACCCCAGGATTCCATTAAGGCATCTCCCCACTCCCAACGAAAATCCTTATAAAATACATTTATTTCTTGATACAATAAAATACAGATAAATATAAGGGAATTGAATACTAAGATTCAATTTACTAACTCTTGAGTTTTAAATTCGGAAAAATGGTGAAGTCTCTGCTGATTAGCTATGAAAAATAAATGTTAAGTTTTCGATCAGTTCTTGAACATTTTCTTTTTAAGTGTCGCTCCTGTTTTTTCTTGTAAATCATGCTATAAAATTTCAAATTAATTTATACAATATATACTGACAAAGTTGTAGCCGCTGCCTGCATAACAGTTTTACTAGCACTTTGTAAAGTCAGTTACCCATGGAGTAATTATGCAGTACACAGAGTAAGTTGTTGTTTCTTTCCCCCCAACATAGCTTATGTTTTCAGTAAACTCATTACTTTGGTCCGATTAAGCAGTCGGTCCAGATAATAGCCATTCCCTCCAACTCCGAGGGGGGTTGTGTGTAATTGTTTCACTCTTGTATTAGCTAATGCCCTCATTTTTAACCAAGCAGTAAACGGAAAGCCTTTGGAGAATAATAAGGAAACCCTGCCCACAGTTAAATTTTATCAATGCCCTTTTCAGTTAAATTTATAGTGCAGTAATGTTCTGATGTAAAACCGGCTTCCTGTTTGATGTTAATCTTTTGGCACAGAAGCTGAAACCTTATGATCAAAAAACACAAACGGCACCAAAGCTGCTTTCACAAAATAGTTTTATTGGTAAAAAATAGAACTACTTGCACAAGCACATTAAGACAACTGTATCAGAACTTGTGAACTGCTCATCATCACAAATATGTTCCAGCAAAGTAAGTAGTGCTAACGCATTCACAAAACTAAGCTGCAGGTATCAAATAAATCCAACATCTCGGTACAGTATACGCAGAAGAGCTGTAACTTGTAGACTTTAAAGACCTAGTCACATTGCACTCTGGCTCTTTATAAGCAAATAAAATTGCGTGCTGATGATTAAGCTGCAGAGCCACTGAAAAAGAGAAATCTCTAGCTGGTATTTCCCTGCTATACTCCATCAGGCAGAAATTGCTCACTTTTCTTTTGTCCAGAGTGCCCACTTATGCTATGTGTTCGTACTGGTCCAGAGAGGCTGGAATGCTTGTTTATTTGAACCAAACTGCCTTTAAATAGTAACACAAATTAAAAGTGCACTGAGTAGTCTTCTTATAAAGAAGATATGGTGTGAAAATGGTGTTTTTATCTTTGACTGAAACAGTCTGAAGGATAAAAAAAAATCCTCCAATCAATCAATTAAATAAATAAAAAAAATCCTGTAAAATCAGACACTTGTGTACAGTTTTTACAGACCATCATTTTTCTGCCTTAAGTTTCCTCGAAAAACAAAATTCATACCCCATGAGCTCATTCAAATTTCTATGCATTATTGGACATTGTGATAAAATAACGTACGTGGTTACAAAGCAAATTAGATTTGGAAAAATCTCATACACAGTAGAACATATCAGTGCGTTACAACTGCTGAACAACCTTAGAATGGCTTTATTGAACGCATGACTAACATTTTCAGATTTTCCCAGCTGAGCTGTGGATTTCTACAGCTCCTCCATTACCATGAACCTGATGGCTGCTTTTTAAATTAATGCTTGGTAGGAAAACAGAAGAAGTTATGGGCAGCTATTGGTAAATATTATTTAAAAAAATATTGATTATAATAAGAGCTGTGTCTAAAAAAAAAAAAAAAAAAAAAGGATTTTCAAACTCATATTAATTTATTTAAACAAAGATCCTTTTTTTTAAAAATGTTTTCCTCCGCCGCCATTAACTATCATTTCTTTTACTTGCTGCTAAACAAAAATATAAAACTAGAATCAATATTTTGCATAACTTAACAGTCCTGTAATTCTGCTAACAGCTAAAAATGTGTTTTTATGGATTTCTTTTCATGGATTGCATGAAAATAATTTATATTAAATCTTGAATTGAAAACAAATCAATACGCAGCCCATATCAAAACTAAATTATTGCATCCATTCAATTGTTATATTGTGCATAATGATATTGCAGCGATGTTTCATAACTGTGCATCTCAAATGCTTTCCTTCCCAAACTGGTTGGACTAAGTGTCTTTGGGCCTGATCTTCAGAGGGTTTGCGTGTCCTAAAACAGTTGCAAACATGTTTGCACCAACAGTGCGAATCTACAAAGAAGCAGACAGCATCTGCAAACCTAATTTGCCGTGTGCCGTCATCAATACGCAGATCATATTATAATGACCAAACTGCAAATTAATGGGTGGAGGATATAGAAATGTAAACATTTAACATTAGGTCACATGCAAGGTCATTTTCCAAATTGGGAACTCAACTGCAACTGCAGTTTTTGCCACATTATTAGTAAGTCAAGTGCCAACTGACAGGCAAAAATATCTGCAGTCGTTGTTGCTACAAAGGAGGCCAGAGGATGAAAAGATATCCTCAGTACATGTAATAACAACAATAGAATAATATTAATAAAGAAGGAACATCTATATAAGCCATCAGAAATTAATGTAGAATGTGGAACTTAAGTATTGGGCTATATTTATAAAAAAAAAAAACGATGTGCACTATAAATATAATATAGTATCATCCTTATTGTAAATATTTATCATCATTATTATCTCCATCTCCATGGCTTTGAACCTCATCTTTCTTTTATAGCCGATCTGAAAGTAGAACATGCAATCTGCTTATTTTAATCAACCAAAAGGGTTTGCATGTATTAAATATCCAGCAATCTTTGTAGATCACCTGCCACATGCCTGCTTATTGCATGTACTAAAAACAACTCCATGTGCAATTTAGCAGCTCTTATTTGTAACCTTTGAGGATCAGGCATATGTGTCCTAATTCTTGGCACGCTTGCAGTTGTTTCAAATGCTTTTCATGTTGACATGATGGTGTGAACAGTGTTCTTTGACGTATTTGAAGCTTTGGTTATTCCATGGGGTATAACCTGACACGGCTTTAAAAGCCTTAACAACTTTTTTCCTGTGTGTTTTTCCTCGTATTAATGATTCTGTTTGATTCGAACGTTCTCCAAAAAACCTCACAGAAGAGCAGCATTTATAGTGAGATTACACCACACATTGGTTCTAATGACTAAATCTGAAGACAGTTATCTGGCTTTTATTTAGGGGTATCAGAATATGAGATACAGATTCGCACAACCTTTAAGATATTTTTAGCAACCTATTTGAAAAGCCTATATCATTTTATTTCAACTTCACATCTCATCAACATTTTGTTTTTTGTTCTAATAAATTACACAGAAGTTTATGATTGTATTTAGGGGGGGTATGAATACTTTTTACGAGACGGTGTATTTATTTAGGGCTCAGACTCTGGAGTCCTGCTGTGCTTTGAGGAGTAATGAGGATTTGAATTAACCCTCGAAAGCTGCAAAGGACTGTACACAAGCATCTAATCTGGCAGAAGAAATCCCAAACCCATAAAGCATTTTTCAGATGTAAAATTCATAGAAAAATAAAGGACAAAAGAAAAACTCCAGGTAATATTAAAATTTGTCATCATGAAACCATTTGGCACATTCTCAAACACATAATGTGTCGGTATTAGCTGATGACATGGCACATTCTTTACTAGTTTTATTGCATTTATCAGTAGTGGTGCCTGGCCAGCTCTGAGTCGTGCCAGTTTTGGCTCTGCAGGGCTACCAAGTTTGCCAGCAGTCCCTCGGAGGCGCCTGTGGTGTTTCTGGCAGCTGCCTGCAGGTGGCAGACTGGGCTCAGCCATCTGCTCTCCCCCAGGAAGCTGCATGTTTATGAGAGAAAAGGAGAGACTGTGCAGTTCTATACATCCATGCCTGCTTCATGCACAAACTCAATATTCCTCCTCTGGGAGTCGAAGTGTAGACTCTCTTTGTAATATAGCCATGAAAGTAGTGCTCCAACTGTCACATGAGTAGGTAGATGTGGGCGAGCGAGAAGAGTTGTGTTTATTTGAGCCTGGTGTGGATGTGCGTTTGAGGAGGACACGCTTTCAGCATGCATCAGCGTTCTCTCGTCAGGGATCACATCCATGTGACGGCTGACACAAACAGGCCAGGATGAATGAGTCGGAAAGGGAGGGGGAAAGGAGCCACCGGTTGGGACCCAAGGAATGGTGGGGTTAGTAGGATAATGAAGTGGACGCAGTATAAAACAGAGCTTTCCAGGTGAAGACTGGTAACATATGCGCACTGCTGCTGACGCACTCAAAAAACAAGTCACATATGGAGAATGACTCAAAGCTTTTTTAGTCGTCTGCGGCACAATTATCCACTTAGGAGCCTATCATTCTCTTCTTCTGCAATTATGCTCCTGTGATGCTTGACCATTGAATTTCTGTTTTAATAATGAGGGAATGGTCAAAATTGGTTGCAGGGAAGAATTTCTTCTAAAAACTGCAACTGTAAGGTGGGGTGTGGGGTTAAAGGCATGAAAGGATGCCCCTTTTCAAAGAGCTCCTGCGACTGGCTGATAATAAAGATGTTTAAAGGGGAAATCTGTCTCCATGGCAGTAAAGAGGCAGTAGACGGGAGTGAAAAACACACATGAAAAGCCCCTGAATGTTTATTGTGCACAGAAATGGCACACAAAAGCATGCGTGGTGTGGGTGTAAATGTCCACAATGGATTGTTGAATGGGAACGCCGCAACTTATACACACAAGTGGATTGTGTCTGGATGGGTGATGTGAAAGTGTCCACTCTACTAAAGCACAGAACAGGCTTCCTGCTAAATTTCTCTCCCTTCCTCTCATATTTCCACCTGCCGTGCGAAGCGCACGTTTCGTTCGTTCACTGCAACCCCGTCGCCCCGCGTCGTCTCCTCCTGACAGTCGTCTTTGAAAACTTCCAGCAGGGTTAATGTTTCTACAGCTTTGTTTTCAGGCACAAGCATTGTGTGGTTCAGTCGTTCTACCAGGCATTCCAGTGTATCAATACACAAACAGGCTCCACACAGCATGCTTTAGAGGCGAAAATATCAACATCCTTCTAGAAACTAACAAAAATATCACCTTTTTAATTTCAATCGATTCAAGGTTGCATTCTAGCAGATATGTATAAAATTAAATAAATAAAATGGCTTGCTATGGAAGGGGTTTTACCTTCTGTTCTCTGGTTTTATATTGCCTTTCTACTCAAATAAGGGGAGGGAGGAGGGTATCGGTAAGAAGGATTGTAAATAGCAGCTAAATGATTGCTTATTTTCTTTCTATTCAAAGCTTTGGTGAGGAGGGGGTGAAATCTACACTCTCGGCTTCTTTATTTTGCGTAATCCATTCCCCAGGGAGCTTTTTCTTGATTTACTGATGAAGAATCTGGGAGCGTCCTTCACTCCTGCAGCATGAATCCAGCCTCCTTACACATCAGCTCTGTTTCTTTCCGAGCTCCTGCTCAAGGTTTACCTCCACAGCTTGTGCTTTCAAAACAGACTAAAAGGAGACACAAATGAATTCAAAGTTGTTGCCCTCCTCTCGTTGCTTCTCCTCCTCAGTTTGGAGCACAGCCCGATGTACAGCATTAACCATGATGGTTTTCCCCTTCAGGCATGCCTCCCTGTAGCTGCTACTTTTATTACACGTAGTCCTGCAGACTGTAGCCAGTCTTGTTGTCTAAGGGGGAGAGGGAGCAGTACTGGTGCTGGAGCTCCTGCTGGAGAAGCTGTTGCTGCTGCTGTTGGAGGAGCAGTTTGTCCGGTGGAGGAAGCAGAACCAGGTCCTGAGGGCCGTGCCTCTTCCCCGAGCAAGACATGCAGAATACGGACCCCCCAACAAAGAGGAAACCTGCTGATACAAAGGCGACGTACACAGCACCCCCAGGCTCAAACTTATTGCTCTCTGGCACGCTGGAGTCCAAGAAGTTTGTGATGACTTCCTTGGTAAACCAAGAAGCAGGCACCAGACACAGAAAGCCAGCAGTGACGAAGCAGCCCCCACTGGCAATGGCGGCATGTCGCTTGGAGCGCCGTCCGCCTCCCCATCGAGTACATTTCAGTCCCAGAGAAGCAAGGCAGAGGCCCATGGCAGCCAGCACACAGCAGAGCACCATGGTGGTGCGAGCAGTCTGCAAGTACGCAGGAAGGGAAAGCACGGAATATTTGAGTGTGCAGCTGAACATGCCAGTGCTGTACCAGGTGCAGTCCATCCACAGCCCCTGCATCTGGGAAATAGCTGTGATGATGTTGGGGCCCACATCTGCACTGACCTTCCAGTTGGGCAGCAGGGTGGCCACCGTGGCACCCATGATGCCCAGCAATGCTAGGACAAATCCAAATATCTGCATGCGAGTGGATGCCATACTCCTTTTTGACTCGGTGCTGCTGCCTCAGCCGTTGTTCTCTTAAGGCAGCATCCACCCGGGGCGCCGGCCAGACTGTCGAGCCCTCTCCCCGGCTGCCTCTCTTCACCTCACTTCTCCAGGTGCAGCTCCACTGGACTGTAGGCAGAGAAAACAAAATGAGGATCCGAATTTCATCATACCTCAGTTCTCATCTCATTTAGAGACTTTTATTTTATGGGTGGAAACAAAGGATGGTGGGGTGGGGTGGGGGTGCTGCTGCCTCTGGATGACAGTAAGTAATCAAAACACTGGACTCTGCTGAACGTTCTCTTCTCCTAACATTCAACACAGCCTCATAGTGAGGAGAGTGAGGAAGCAGTGGGGGTATTTGCATTGTAATCGCTATGTGGACTTAAAGCTGCAGCGTCCTCACATCAGTCTTAATATCTGTACTTTTTTCTCTGAAAGCTGGTTTTCTCAAGGTGATATGATGAATGAAACCTTATTATATCTGTTTTTATTTATGAAAACCTAACTTAATTTTATGTATTCGTTTAAAAATATCTTCTGACTCTGTTGGTTTTTGTTTTCTAATTGTTATTGTTTTGTTTTTATCCACTGATGCCATGTTGAAATAATTCCTTACCTCGGCTGGTGCAGAGCTGATGCCGACGCGTCACGTTTTTAGCAGCAATCCCCGTAAAGTCGCGCTGAAACACGGCGGGCTGTAAAGGTGAGGGGGCGAGCAGGACTGATCCGTCCGGACCACCGATCCATTCAAGCCATCCATTTCCCTAGCAACAGCGTGGGAGAGACCACACAGGCTCGGCCGAAGCCTGTGAGAAAGTGACCGTAGCTCCTGCGCCGCTTCTCCTCTCCTCCTCCTCCTCCTCCTCTCCTTTCTCTCTCTGCCGGTTTGTGTGTGTGAGTGTGAGAGAGAGAGAGACGGAGAGAGAGGGAGGGAGCGAGCACGGTCTGCCTCACAACTTCATCAGTGATTACACAGCAATGCGCCCTAATCACTACACGCAGCGCGTGAGCCGCGTCTCAAACCGATTAACTGCTGCTTCACTTTAACCGTTTTACAACAAATATCCAAATGCAGCCGCTGCTCCTAATCCTTCATTCTTTACATTTTTTAGTCCTATTTATAATTGTTAAACCACACACAATAATATCCAAACACTTGAACCGAAATTCTGCACATGAAAGCAACCGATTTAAAATGATCTATACCAGGGATAACCAATTAAAAATCAGTGCGATCCAAATAAAGAAAGTCATTAACCAGTAAAGGTCCAGAGATATTTTTAATAATAATTTGCTACTTTAAACAGAATTTAACACCGAAATAAAATGAGGTTTTTATGCCTCCATGTTATACATTGAACAAAAAAAAAAAAAAAAAAAAAAAAAAAAAAAAAAATATATATATATATATATATATATATATATATATATATATATATATATATATATATATATATATATATATATATATATATATATATATATATATATATAGTATATGTAAAAAATAGAAAATTTTTCCATTTTAAAATCTAAAGTATTTTTTTGAAGTAGAGAACAACAATCATTCAGTTTGGTATATAGACAATTTACTGATTCACATATTCAATTAAACATCTGAACTGACCGTTTTTGTTTTTTTTTATGGCTAAATGAGAGAAGTGGGCTTTAGGCTGCCCTGCAAGGCTTTAAAGTTGTAACAAAGTCGTATTTAAATGTCAAATCATTCTGGCGAAAACATGTATATAAATAGATTCTTTATCAGACTATATTGTCCTAAAAGTTCGAAAATTTCTATTAAAAAAAAAAAACCTGTCTTAAAATCTGAGGGGTTTTTTTCTCGTTATCTTATGCAGGCCAGTTAGTTATACATCAGCTTGTACACCTATATTCGGCCAATCATATATCAATGGTCAACTGTCAATCAAATTTTTTCAGTCATAGCATCTTGATTTATGTCGCAGCTAATATACGCAGCGGTTGAAATAAGAAAAATTTCCTTTCCCATTGAGTTCCATCCCAGTGTTCACGAGGATGGACGTCTGTGTCTTCGCCAGGCGTAGAGCTAACAGAACTGGCAGCGTTGCGAGGCAAGGGCTCAAACATGTACAAACAAACACGTAAGCCTTCTACACCAAACCAAGCTTCTTCCACCCTGGCGTCCTCTTCCACCACATCTTCGTCCCCGCTTTCCTCCTCTGTATAAAAAATGTATGATGGAGGAGACTCATCCACGACCTCCAACACAAAACTCTCCTCCTCCTGCATGTTTCCGCTGTCTGGCTCAGACCGGTTGTGTCTGGCTCAGGCCGGTTGAGTTGTGTCTGGTTCAGTGGTAACTGGTTCAGTTATGTGCCATTTACACTTAACAGTTATCTCGGTCATCATGCTCGGGCCGATCTCAGCACCATTTCTAAAGGCTAGTGTAAATGGGGCTTATGGGTGCTACCTTTGGCACACTTTGGTACATTCAGCCAAAATAGATTGTAAACGTTTTCTTTTTACTTAAGTGAAACGTTTTAACATGTCTCATTTGTGAAGCTTTTCTTACCAAATACACCAAATTAATCTTCACACAATTTCAATGAAAACAGCAATAAACTGTAACTGAACACGGCCATTACGCAGGAGTACGTCTCGATATTAGCAGGTTTAACCAAAGAAGCCTTCATTTAAATCTGCTAAGCCAGGGGAATCCAGTTATATCCACTAGGTTTACATGTCTCTGAGCAATGCATCTTTATATGCCATCTGAAGAATGTTTACTTTTGTTTTATCAACTTCCTGTTACTGGATAAAAAACAGAAAATAATGGAACTTAGTGAGAGGTGGTGCGGCTAACATGGCTGTATAGAGGTGGATGTAAGACTTTGGGGATAAAGTATGAGCAAAGTAAGCTGTAGATTGTTATCCTCATCAAACATGGGTGTTTATTTTGGTGTTTTCTTGTTTGTTTGTTTTTTTAGTGCTGGATAAGTAAATCCTGGGTAGATGGTTATATAATTGGAATCTGGGAGATCTCTGCTTTCAGCAGATCTGTCAGTTGTATTTTTTTGTTTATTTGAAGCCACTTGGAGAGGTAGTACAAGCAAGTGTTGCAGTTCAGACATTTTTTGTGGTTTTAAATTCAATTGCCTATCGATTTGACTGTTTGGTGTTTTTGGAAATGGTTTATATGGGCTCTGAGCCAAGATACTAATGTTTCTGTAAACACCACGTGTGTGTATGTTTAACTAAGGGAACTTTCTACACAAACCTAGAAATAAAAAAAAAGAAAACTCTGCCTGCAGTGCTGTCAAATCAAACTTAAGAGGTGATGTAGAGTTTACAGTTGATATTAAAATGGTTAAAATTCTGGTTTATTATTAATTGTTTGTGTCTTTGATCGAATTTCAAACAGAAAAAAAACTCATTTATTTCAAACAAACTCATGTATCCAAACTTGTGTTACATTTATGATTATACAGTTAATTCTGTAAAGTAAAATTTTTAAATGGTATAAAAAAAAAACTCCTTGCTCGTCCCTGATGGTTCAGTATTAAACAAAGCTTTTTTGCATTAATTTATAAGGCTTAGTGCAAAGGAAAACCTATAATGCCCTCATCCTATAAGCAACAATTGCATAGTGGAACATAGTAGGCTAGTGGCAGCGTCATATTGTGGGATTTTTTTTACTTTTCACATACAGGGACAGCAAAGCTGGTAAGTAGCCACCTCTCCAAAATTGTAGGTGACCGCAGACAGTGCCGCAGACAGGAGGCCTCTGATTGGTCAAATCTACATCCGCTCTGCACTATCCGTATTTCCTGTTTGGTACCTTACCAGCTTGTTTTGTTTGTATGACCGCCATTGTGGAAAAACAACTCGTGAAGTTGGACCAGCTAGAAGAGCGAGGTGCGTGAGAACGCTGGGACCAATTTTCCACCCGGATCCCCGCCCTTTTTCGCCCTCATGTCCCTCCAGTATCGCACAAACTTGCCCCCACTTCCTCACCACCTCGATCGTATCTAGACCCACAGCTAGCTTGTGATTGGCCCCCTTGCGTTGTGGCGTGGAATAACATAGTGCAGATCATGCTTCAATATTGGCATAAATCAAAAATATCTGCAACAAGCTCACTGTGACACAGCGCTGTGGGAGGATAACAGCCCTTTATATCGCGATTCCTGTCACCTCACTTAACAATAAATTAAATTCAATTCAGTTTATTTATATAGTGCCAATTCACAACACATGTTATCTCAAGATGCTTTAGAATAAATGAGCCCCTAGTGCCATAAAAACAAAAACAAAAATCCCAATAAACTGCATTGAAATCTGTGAATGTAACTTAACAAAATGTTCAGGTTAAAGAGGCATGTATACTTTGGCAAATAACCATATTACAAACCAAACTCTTAGATTAAACTGCAGTCATCATAATACTGCTGTTACAATGTAAGAAGTGGCAAAGATAAACTCATGATAATATGAATTCCAGGGAGGCTAATCACATTTAAACAGAGAAGGCTGCTACTGTCAAGTTTTAAGATTAAGTCCACGTCACTGGCCTCTTATTCTGTGATCTGTTTTCTGTTTACATGCCAGCAGAGAGGCCAGAGCAGCATGTTTCCCAAACTGACCTTCCCCAGAGCATTATCTTCATCAGTCAGCAGGAGGCTAAAACCCACAGCTGCTACCCTGTCTTTCTTTTTGTTTATGTAGCGGATGTGCATCACATGGGGAGGGGCTTGGATGGGGTTGATCTGTGAATGACAAGACATGAGACTATAGATAGACAGGGGGTAAGAGAGGATTAATGATCCTGATTGTACCTCATCTAATGCAAGGTGATTGGCTTTTGGTCGCAATTCAATTTATTTATATAGCACCAATTCAAAACACATGTCATCTCATGGCACTTTACAGTTCACCAGTTCATACAG